AAAGGAGAGAATGTTCCAACATGGGAATCAGTCCATGCAGCAGACTCATAGAATGACAATTGCTTTAAGTAACACTCTGACCTCAGAATCAGCCCTTAAGTCTTCCTGGTCTGTCTGAAAACACTGTGAGATAATTTCAGGCATAGAAAGCCAGCACTGTGGCAAAAAAATGTTCTACATGAAGGATCTTTGTGAGTGAGTCCCCAGAGATAAGACATGGCCATCAAAGAAGGATGTACTCTCCTCTAAAGGGAAGATAGAACTACTACTTTACTTAAGGCCTTTTCCAAATACTGATGGAGTTTGTGGACACAAAAGGCTTCCATAGCCTAGGCAACTCATGTCAAGAGCCTCTGGTGGTCACTGATATCATACTTAAGAGTGTTAATTGTTAAACTAACAACAGGAGTCAATGTGCACTGTGCATTAAGGACCTCTGTCCTCAATGAATTGTATTATGAGATATAAATGCATATAAAACTAGCTCTCAAACAGTTGTGTGTGTATGTGTGTATGTATGTGTGTGTTGAAATCTTTACTTAGTATAGAGTTGGTCTTCTGTATACAAAGTTAATTATAAATGAATTTAATGGAGAATAGGACTGGCAAGGGGAGATGGAGGAGGGGTGGGGGTGTGGGTGGGTGGGTGGGTATGGTGGGAAGAATAACTTTTTATAAAGTTGTACTTATGAAATTTAGATTCCTTAGAAATAAAATTTTAAAAAGTACTAACAAATATTCTGCATTGCATTTTTGAAAAGGAGGTGAAGATTTTATTATGTCTAAAAAGGCCTAAGCAAAAGGAAACTGTTATTGTGGGTTGTCTTTCAGATTTAGTCACATGTTACAGAGAAATTCCCCGTAATATATGTGCAATTCATCATTACCAGATAAGACACAGAGGAGATGAATGTGGAAAGTATAACGAAGCCAGTCCAGTTTATTTTAATGCAATTGTAAGTAACAATACTTTAATAAAATGAAAAGAAATTCTGGATTTTTTGCAGGTAGGACTTGCAGATAACATTTGCTGAAGGCAAAGTGCTCATATAATCAAACAATTAAGAGGGCTAAGAAAGAAAGCTAAGGAAGCCGGCGCCGCAGCTCACTAGGCTAATCCTCCGCCTAGCGGCGCCGGCACACCGGGTTCTAGTCCCAGTTGGGGCGCCGGATTCTGTCCCGGTTGCCCCTCTTCCAGGCCAGCTCTCTGCTGTGGTCAGGGAGTGCAGTGGAGGATGGCCCAGGTGCTTGGGCCCTGCACCCCATGGGAGACCAGGAAAAGCACCTGGCTCCTGGCTCCTGCCATCGGATCAGCGCGGTGCGCTTGCCGCAGCGTGCCGGCCGCGACAGCCACTGGAGGGTGAACCAACGGCAAAGGAAGACCTTTCTCTCTGTCTCTCTCTCTCTCACTGTCCACTCTGCCTGTTAAAAAATAAAAAAAAAAAATTAAAAATTAAAAAAAAAAGAAAGCTAAGGAAGGAAGTAGGCCAGATTATAGACAGCCTCATATACTATGTATGGAAACTTGGAATTAATCCGAGGGAACCCATGGGTGAATTTTAGAAATGTGCTTTAATTAGAACATTGGTTATTGGAAGACATATTTGGAGGGAACGTAATTATTATATTTGAAGTAGAAAATTGAAAGCTCATGGACTATGCCCATGATTACATTTTTGTATTCTGTTTTGTTCTATGTGTTAACATGCACAGTATTTGGCAAGCTAAATTTGCACAGTTTAAGCAATTAAATAGTGGATTTCACATAAATATTTGGATCACTGATTTCTGAAACACTGGAAGATTTGTGGTTATGAGGCATGCTTTTCTGGATAAAAAGCAGAAATTGAATAGCAGTTGCTTCTTCTTAGATTGTGGGATTCACTGTCTACCTTGGGTACCTCACCTGATCTCCTAATACACACTAAACACCTGGTCTCATGCTATTGGAGTTGGGAAATTTCAGTATAATTGCCCTTTACAATAACAACCCTTGATTTTAAAAAATGATCAGAAGAAATAAAATCCATACCTAAATCATCAACATCATTCATATAAGATGTCCCAACTTAATGGAACTACATTTTGATACCAACTAACATAAGGACAAACTGTAGAAATAAGCAGAAGTAATGTTTATTATGTGATCACTTCAAAAATTATTTTGATAGAGTAACATAGCACTGTCCATTTCTGCTAATATGATAAATTAACTCAAGTGTAAAGCAATCAAATGATCACTCTCCCATACCAGGAGAGTCTAAGTGGTAACTGATCAGAATGAAATATCATTTCATTTACTGTTCATGGGTAACTCCAAGGTGACCAGAACAGAACAAGTTCACAATCACCTGCCCCCTCCCTTTGACCCACAGCTTTATTGAGAGATGGAGCTCGTAGTTACAAAAGATTTCCAAATGAACCCACTGGCCACTATCCTTCCTAGCACTGATAAAAGAACAATGTACTATTTCCAGGGGGCCATGTGATTTGTAGCTTCAAGCCTTCTGAATAATTATACAATGATTAGACATTCAATTAAGCATTCTGACCAAAGAGAAATTATGTTATTACATAAGGGGAAGAAGAAAGAAAAAAAGATTGATTTTGTAGCAATTTTACCACACTCTGGAGAGTTTTCTCTTTTGTAAATCAGAGGCCACATGACTAACCCCTTCTTGTGTTGTATAAAATTCACAATCTGCTTATCTCACTATTATTCTTTAGGCTCTGCTGCTCCACACTCAGTCATATTTGTATCTCCAAGCCTGGGACAGTACTTGGTTTGCTAGACAATCAACCAATGTTTGTGGAAAATAAAGCATGTCCCTCAATGAGGCATTTTTCCTGCCTTCCCACAAGATGAGCTGGAAGGGAAATGGGGAGAAATAGATTTTGTGGTACATCCTCTGCTGAGTCTTGAATTTTGTCTACATTAGCTCATATAGTAACAGATAGAAACTCTGACAGAGGCACAACTGTGTGGTGGGAAAGAATTAATAAACATGCTTGCATATTCTCTTGCTACTTATTGTTATAGAGTCTCAGGCAACTAATTTGGATTTTTTGAACATTGGTATGCTCTTGAAAAAACTCAAATGTATAATAATTGCTTTACCAACATCACACTGCTTTAGTGAGAATCAATTAAGACAATGGAAATGAAATAGAGGTGCAATGTACAAAATGATATATTGCGGGAGGGGGGCTCCAATCAAAAAGGAAACAAAGTTGCTGAGCCTTCACTCAACAAGGCCGCTAAGCCTTTGCTTGAGTTTGCGGCACTTCCGCATCCCAGTGACAGCGTTTCCAACAATCCAAAATGGCCCCCGGGGGAGGTACCTAGCCTGACAGGAGACTTCTGTATTCGTGAACAGTATGTGTCCTCGGCTGTGATAGGCCCTTGAGGGTGTGCCCGGCTCGTGTCCTGCCTTACCCTTCAGTTGGTTGGCTCAGTTCCCTTGTGCCCTGGGCAGCCCCCTTTCTGTGTCTATAAAATCTCTTCCCCTCCCAATAAAGTCGAAAACCCGGCTGTGCCCTGGGCATTGACTGATCTCCTGGCTATGGTGTGGTTCCTTTGCTGCCAACACTCATCTTCCCACTCGGCCCCTGAGCTCCCCGGGCTGGCCCTGAGATCTATCGGAACTGCTGCCCCATGACAAGCAGCAATATATGAATATAGTAATATTATTTCTTGAGATACTATAGAGTGAAAATGACATTGGAAAACATGAAGCCAAAGCTTCTCTCTTTGGAAACTTAATTAAAGGTAAAACTGTTATGCCAGTGATAACCAATATTTTACTTATTTGCTTATTCAATATTGATTGAACTCCTACCATGTTCACATTCAAGGTCCAGCCTAGGTGATCAGACACTCAATGCTTTCAATTAATTTCAAAGGCTCCTGCCAAGTTTTCAAAATCTTTTATTTCAGAACTATTATAAAGTCACCTGTAATAATTACCACTTTGGAAAATTTAGAGTAAGGTTACCAAAATAGCAGTGCAAACAGGGGTATGTGGCCTTAGTCACTTCATGAGTTAAAAGTCTGGCAGCACCTGCTATTGCTTAAGGCAAAAAGTGTCAGTGCCTGGCATTTAGCAAGCCATTGTTGGTTGAATGGAATTGAACAGCTGCTCTAAGAATCAACAGAGGCTACATCTGGATTGCATGGCTGAGGCTTTTAATCTGACTCTGTCATTTTTCAGAGCAGGAAAATAGAAGCTCAATAAATTCAAGTCCCAAGGTAATATAGGCAAGTAACTTGAGAGTCAGAATTCAAAATGGTACTCTTCTGGTTCCAAGTTCTATGTTTCCTATATAGAGTGTATTACCTTCTACAAATGCTAACTCTATTTTAGGAGTTATTTTTAAATGTTATTTGTTGTACAAGTTTCATGTATTTTATACATACAGATTTAGGAGCATAGTGATGCTTCCCTCCCTCCTACCCACACTTCAACCTTTCTTCCTCCTCCCTCTCCCATTCCCACACTTAATTTTTATGGAGATCTACTTTTAGTTTATTTAATGATCTTAAGGTTATTAATATAAGTGGCCTTGCATTTGCATAATGATGAAAAATAACACTGAGTTACCTAGTAGACTTCCTTAAAAGACTGTAAAATCACAATGTCAATATAGTATTTCAGGTAGTTCACAAATTATGCCAATTATAGTAATTGCAGCCAAAGTTTATGGACAAGCAACTTAGGTGCATTAAGCCTGTCAGCTACTCTGGCAATGTTTAATGCAATAATCAAAAGTGCACATGAATTATATTCTGCAAAGTTAATGTTATAGCCTTTTTTCTCAATATAGTAATGCCCAGAATAAGCAAAATGTCAATAGCAACACAGAATTAAAGTACTGAAAATTGTGTATTTTGTTGTTTATTCCCTCATCTTTATTTTACTGGCTGTTAAAGACAATAGTATCCCCCCAAAGAAAACAAGAATGTTATAGTATTCAATGACCCAGGTGAACAAATTCATTACCTTTGGTGCCAGTTTCCAACCTATTCTCCCAATAATGCTGAAGGAAAATCAATCTGCACTTGTGATTTACATTCCTCACAGAAACAGAACTAATCCATGGGCTAATATCAGTAGCTGTTGAAAATGGAAATATTTAAGTCACTTCTCCAATGTCTTCTCCCAGCTAAATTTTTATTATTTCCCCTTTCAATTTTATTACCTCCCCTTTAATTACTTATCTTAGATTTACAGTTTTTACATAACATGGTCATACTCTTCAAGAATTACAATGAAGATCAAATCAGCTGTGACACCTCTGGCAAGCAGTGAGTAGGCCTGGACCAGCATCAATTTAAGGAATGTGGCCCTGTGAGGGAAGATATCAATATAACCGTAACTGCTTGGTTACAAGAAAACATACCCTGCTAGACTTATCATTAACAAGAAACCTGATTCATTTCAGACAGAAAAATAGTTGCTCAGTTCCATTTTCACTAGCTCCCTGGAGGAATTTGTCTGATCTGTTTGCCTGAGTTCTAAATGAGCAAACAATCAATATATCTAATGTTTTTGGAAAGGAGTTACAATTTGGAGTGTAGATATAAAGGGATTTGCTGTAGAGGCTTTGCAAGCAATCAGTTCACTCATTAACACAAGATAAGCTGGGGCCAGCATGGCATATTGGGTTAAGCCTCCACAGCAGTGCAGGCATCCCAAATGAGCACCAGTGTTCTACTTCCAATCCAGCTCCCTGCTGATGGCTCAGGAAAGCAGTGGAAGATGGCTCAAGTGTTTGGGCCCCTGCACCTAAACAGGAGATCCAGAAGAAACTCCTGGCTCCTAGCTTTGGATAGGCCTAGCTCTGGCTGTTGCAGCCATTTGGGGAGTGAACTAACAGATGGAAGATCTCTCTCTTTCTCTCCCTCTTTCTGTCTGTAACTTTGTCTTTCAAATAAAATAAGTCTTTAAAAGGAAATACAAAGTTAATCACACAAACAAAAGTGGTAAGAAATGCAATGTCATGGATAAAATATGTTTTACCCTCATAACTTGGCTTATATTTGACGTTATTTATTTATAAAATGGAGCTTCATTCATAAAATGAAGCTAATGATCCCTACCTAATGGGAATGTTGTCAGGATAAGGGAAATAATGACTCAGGTCATTTATCCCGAACTCACACAATACAGAGTGCTAAATAAATTGCAGCTTTATTATTGCATATAATAAAATCAAACAAATGCAGTATATGCTGTAAATAGTGCTTCCAGCTCTTTAAGAATTTAATCAGCTTTGCAGTTTATTCTTATCTTCACCATAAATGTGTGAGGGATCATTAAATAGATCTAAACTCCCAAGTCTATTAATGGATGAAAACATTTATAGTTATCTTCAAGAACAGGACTAGATCCGTGGAAGGAAAGCTGTATATCTAAGTCATGACTCCTCCCTTTCATTGGACACATTGAAACACTATGTACTGGCAAGAATGGAGCTCTTCCAGGTGCTGAAAATTTCTTCCATAATGGCCCCATTGACAAAATCCTGAGCTACACCTCCCCAAAATCCTTCACAATAAACTCTCTTCAATAAATATACATTTCAGGACTGGCACTGTGGCATAGCAAGAGAAACCACCACCTACCATGGGCCTTCCATATGAACAACAGTTCTAGTCCTGGCTGCTCCACTTCTGATTCAGCTCCCTGCTAATGCACCCAGGAAAGCAGTGGAAGATGACCCAAGTGTTTGGACCCCCTGACCCATGTAGAAGATCCAGAAGCTGCTCCTGGCTCCTAGCTTTGGATCAGTCCAGCTCTGGACATTACAGCCATTTGGGAATTGAACCAGCAGATGGGAGACTTCTGTGTCTCTGTCCCTGTCTCTCTCTCTCTCTCTCCTCTCCTCTCTCTCTCTATCAAATAAATAAATAATTCTTTTTAAAAAAGATTTTTATTTATTTGAAATTCAGACTTATACAGAGAGAGGAGGAGAGGCAGAGAGAAAAAGAGATCTTCCACCTGCTGGTTCACTCCCCAAATGGCCGCAATGGCCAGAGCTGTACCGATCTGAAGCTTCTTCCAGGTCTCCCACGTGGGCACAGGGGCCCAAGGACTTGGGCCATATTCCACTGCTTTCCCAGGTCATAGCTGAGAGCTGGTTTGGAAGTGGAGCAGCAGGGATTTGAACTGGTACCCAAATGGGATGTTGGCACCGCAGGTGACAGCTCCACCCGTTACCCCATAGTGCTGGCCCCATAAATAATTCTTTAAAAATAAATAAATATGATCTTCAGCATTATGCATATAGTGTTTTTAGTGTCCTCCAGATTAGAGTTGTCAGATAACATACAAGAGGATCCTCAATTAAATCTGAATTTAAGATAAACAATGTTTCAATACTTTTTTCTCAGTCTAAGTGTGTTCTAGGTCAGTCCTGATTTCTGGAGGTGGACCTAAAAAAATTGTTTACTGAGTCATCTCCAGTGACTATAGGATCCATGTCAGATTTCTATTTGGAATATATAAATTGAACCAGGCATGCTGTATTTTTATTTGTTAAATATGGTAATCTTACTCCAAATGAACTGAATTATGTTTACCTTTATAGTACTTGTGATATCTGATCATACTTCTAAAATTCATATTTTTAAATCCCTTGCAAACATTTTCCAGTACTTGTCTATTATTTTAAAGGAATGAAAACATTTGTAGACTAGAAAGTAACTGAATGCAATCACTTGGGGACAGTTCAGAGTGTGAGTAGTAACCTTGGTGACCTCTGGCAGCTGAACGCATCATGGGAGGATTTCAATTTCCTCTGAATTTCCTGTATAATCCCTAGAGGCTTTTGATCCCAAAGAGTAAGACGCAATCTTTGACCTCAAAAGTGCCCTTGATATAATGCGGCTGCTGCCTGGGTCATCACCACTCCCATCTGTGGCTTCTGTGTGCTTCCTCCACCGTCTCATGGCTGTTCAACAGGGAAAGAATCCCCATGTTGAGCCTCTCATGGCTTGTCGCCATGGCTTGTTGTGGGGAGAGTGCATCTCTTTGGGTGGATGCCCTTAGGCAAGCACTTTTTGTTTTTCGCCACCTTCCTCTCAGGGAACCTAGAACCAATCCCCAGCGCTGTGTCAGAGGATGTGTCAGTGACTTCTACTTTGTCAAAAGGATCCCTGCCTTCTGAGCTTGCGTCCAGTGCCCAGTCAGGCTTCTGTGTACCTCAATTGTTTTCATAACACGGTGAGTTCCCTATTCTCTGTGTCAGGGTACTTTGTGCTAGTCTTTTAATCTTTTGAGACTAATCTTAGATCACATCATAAGTTTAGATATTTTTCCCCATTATGCTACAGGTACAGTAGCAATATCATTTTAAAAAATATATATTATATGATGTCTTATGAATTTTATCAAAATTTATGTTCCTATAACTTCTCACATGTTTCTGAAAAACATGTATCTTTGGGGTGGGCACTGTGGCATAGTAGGTAAAGCCACCACCTGCAGTACCAGGATAGGCATCCCATATGCACTCTGGTTCAAGTCCCAGCTGATCCACTTCTGATCCAGCTCCCTGCTAATGTGCCTGAGAAAGCAGCAGAGGATGGCTCAAGTGCTTGGGCCCCTGCAGCTATGTGGGAGACCTGGAAGAATCGCCTGGCTCCTGGCTTTGGATCTGCCCAGCTCCAGCCCTCTCTCTCTCTCTCTCTCTCTCTCTCTTTCCTTCTTGCTCTCTTTCTGTAACTTTGTTTATAAAATAAAAAATAAAGCTTTTAAAAAAACAGAACCATCTTTTTCAAAATATTTATTAATATATTTATTTGAAAAGCAGAATGACAGAGAGCTTGATCTTCCAACTGCAGATTTACTCAAAAAACACTCAGCAATGCTAACTCTCAGGAAATTTTAAATAAAGATAACAGTGATCTATCTCACTCCTGTTCAAATGGCTATCATCCAAAAAGACAAAAGTTAGCAAGTCCTGGCAAAGTTGTGGAGAAAAGGGAATCATAATATACTATTTTTGAAAATGCGAATTAGTATAGTTATTATAGAAAACAATATGAAGGTTCTTCAAAAACCTAAAATAGATCTAATATGTGACCCAACACCAACTTTTTTCAAAAAAACAGAATTTTCCATGCCTTCCAAAAACCCTTATCTACTTCAGTAGCTCCCTCCCCTCAATGTCAGCACTATCCTCAACTCTGGTCTATGACTTTCTTGCTTTTCTGTGCCATATTACCATGACTAACATGTGGTTTATTTTGGCAAGTTTTAAAAAGTTGAAATGAGGGACCAGCACTGTGGCATAGCGGGTAAAACCGCTGCCTGCCGTGCCAGCATCCCATATAGGCACCAGTTCAAGTTCCAGCTGCTCCATTTCCAATCCAGCTCTCTGCTATGGCCTGGGAAAGCAGTGGAAGATGGCCCAAGTCCTTGAGTCCCTGCACCCTTGTGGGAGACCCAGAGAAGCTCCTGGCTCCTGGCTTCGGATGGGTGCAGCTCTAGCCATTGCAGCCAGCTGGGCAGTTAACCAGTGGATGGAAGAATTCTCTCTCTCTCTCTCTCTCTCTCTCTCTCTCTCTCTCTCCCTCTCTCTCTCTCTCTCTCCTGCCTCTCCTCCTTTCTGTGTAACTCTGACTTTTTTAAAATAAATAAATAATTTTTTTAAAAAAGTTTACATGAGGGCTCACACTTGATGCAAATTCACACGCATACACACACACACAATTTTTACTCAACATGAAGATATTTGGCCTTGTTTTTCCACATATTTTTATTTCATTTGTCTTTAGTATTGAAGTAATGTATATGAGCTACAACACTTTTTTATCTCCCTTTACCATCGACATTTTAATTATTTCTACTTTATGCTTTTGCAAAGTATGTTTAGATGAAAACTTTGTAAACCTTACTTGTTATACCTACGCAAGGGTTCTTCTAAGGAATAATTGAATTTTAGTTTCTGTGTCATCCAGTAAGTGCATTTGCAATTTAGAAAATAAGTTGCTATTGCTGTTTTTATTATTATTTTATGCTGCTTTATGTCCCCACAAAAAGATTTAAATATTCATGCAAAGTTATATGAATGTACATTTCTGTGAAAAAGATATGATCTCCTCTTGTTCCAAATTTATGGCAACAACAAATATTTTTATATATTCCAGTGTGATGCATACAAAATCCTATGGCATTATGAGATTGCTTTACTTATTGATTAGCTCATTATTGCAGCATCAGACCATACAACAATGGATTGCATTGTATTATTGTTATTGTTGCCTCATCTATTGTAATAAGTGGGAATCAAAAACACTTTTAAAGCTAATAAATCAAGCAATAGAAATTAATTATATTTAATATTACAAATATAAGATCAGAGTGTCAATTGTTAAATCAACAACAGGAGTCACTGTGTTGATCTGTGTAGGATCTCTGTCTTCAATGTGTTGTACTATGTGAATTAACAGTATTACTAGTACTCAAACAGTACTTTATACTTTGTGTATGTGGGTGCAGTCAGTTGAAATCTTTACTTAGTATATACTAAGTTGATCTTCTGTATATAAAGATAATTGAAAATGAATCTTGATGAAGAATTGGATGTGAGAGGGAGTGGCAGATGGGATGGTTGTGGGTGGGGGGTGGTTATGGGGGGAAAAGCCGCTATAATTCAAAAGTCATACTTTGGAAATTTATATTTATTAAATAAAAGTTGAAAAAAGATAATACAAAGATCAGCACAAGAACAATAAAATTTCTTCTTGTAACTTCTTGTAATTTGGAATTAAAGAGTGCAGGTCAATCTAAAAATTACATAACTCTACTCTAATATGTTGTTCAATTTTTGTTACACTCATTCAAAAAAGGACCTCAACCTAGTCAGTTGGGACAAAGAACCTTGAAAGTCTATATTTGGAAAGGAAGACGGGTAGCTTGCCATTGTTTCCTCCTTTCTCTCTCCTATGTCTCCTTCTACACTTGCTGTTTGCTCTTCTTATGCCTTCCAAAGTCTGACCAAAGAGAGAAACAGAGAAAAGAGCACAATCATAAACTCCCTGCGCAATTACAACCCAATACCAGAGACCTCTAGATGTGACTGGTGGCACAAGCTGCCCTGTTCTGTCATTCTCAAGACTGCTCACCAGAGGATTCTTCTCTCCCTCTCTAGATACAGGAAATGCCTCCCCACCTGTTAGCATGTGTAATTTTCCCTCAGCCCCTGGGTCTTCAGTGGGAAATCAGGTAATGAAGTTCCTTTCATCCTGCAGCCAGTGCTCTCAAAAGCTAATCATGCAACTTTCCTCAGTTTGCTGTGTCAGGTGAAATTGAAACTCTCCCTCAATGCAACCTTATAGACAGGCACAGCTTTAAACACAGCCTCTCACCTCTCAGTCTTGCCTTGGGCTTGAGAAGGACTTCAGACATCACTGATTTCGTGGCTTTTCCCATTTGATCGATTCTTAACTACCTACTGCTAATATGTGTTGGATATGAGAAATGAGTTCTCCTTGTTCTTCATATTATTATCCTTTTACTATAAGATTTGGTTTGCTAATATTTTATAACTTTGCATCTCTGCTCATGATTAAAATAAAATAGTACTTTATTTTTGCTGTTTAATTGTTATGTTTGTAGAGAAAAGTTTTGCTAATTTTCCATGATTATTTGAAAATGATCCCATCTGTTTCCGTGCTCCATTTTTTCTTGGACATTTTAAACCCTTCCTTATCAAACTTCTTGTACTGAACATGATGGAGGCTTGACTACAGCATGACCTTACTCTGGACAGATTGAAGAGCAGTAGTGATGGGAGTTGGCTTGCCTTCGAGACTAGGGGAACCCAGCCAATCTGGTACACACATCAAGTAGGTCTCTTACAGAATGTTTCTCTTTTCCACCTACTGACCTGCCTGGAATACTCTCCTTCTCTTCCTGGCTACTTTATGATCAAGTCTGAAGATCTCAGATAAATGTTACTATTTCAGAGAAACCATCTATGTCCACAGTAATCAAAGCAAGATCGTCAATTGTGTTTTCTCAGACCATTCTGAACTTTCAATACTAAGACTTTTCACGACTTGCAGTTACGGATATAAGAAGGATCTTCAAAAATTTCATGGAAAGTACCTATTACGAAAAAACTACGTGAATTTCAAACTTCTTTGCACCAAAACAAACTTATTTTTTAATCCCATTTCCTGGAAAGTTTTCTGAGACACTATAATATTACTGTGATCATTTTTTGAATGTCTGTTTATCCCTTATAATAGTCCCTATGAAGGGTATGGACTGTTATTCCTACATAACCCTGTAATAATGTACTGTGTACACAATAAATTTATAGAAAATAGTAAATGACCTGTGACTATGTTGTAAATTACTGTAAATTGTCTATTTTATGTATCTAAGCATGCTTTTCTTTTTTTCTTAACTTTTATTTAATAAATATAAATTTCCAAAGTACAACTTTTGGATTATAGCGGCCTTTTCTCCCCATAACCTCCTGCCCACCTGCAACCATCCCATCCCCCACTCCTTCTCCCATCCCATTATTCATCAAGATTCATTTTCAATTATCTTTATATACAGAAGATCAATTTAGTATATATTAAGTAAAGATTTCATCAGTTTGCACCCACACAGAAACACAAAGTGTAAAATACTGTTTCAGTGCTAGTTATAGCATTACTTCACATTGGACAACACATTAAGGACAGAAATCCTACATGGGGAGTAAGTGCACAGTGATTCCTGTTGTTGATTTAACAAGTGACACTCTTATTTATTATGTCAGTAATCACATGAGGCTCTAGTCATGAGTTGCCAAGGCTATGGAAGCCTTTTGGGTTCGCCAACTTCGATCTTATTCTGTCAGGGTCATAGTCAAAGTGGAAGTTCTCTTCTCCCTTCAGAGAAAGGTACCTCCCTCTTTGATGGCCTGTTTTTTCTGCTGGGATCTCACTCACAGAGATCTTTCATTTAGGTCATTTTTTTTTTTTTTTGCCAGAGTCTCTTGGCTATCTATGCCTGAAATACTCTCTTGGGCGTTTTAGCCAGATCTGAATGCCTTAAGGGCTGATTCTGAGGCCAGAGTTAAGCATGCTTTTTTATACATGGGTGAGCTCCACATTCTGTTTTGTTGCATTCCTAGAAATCATGCCAGTCTTTGAGTATCTGCAATTCAGGCGACTTGTTTAGAAAATAACCAATCAATTCCAAAGTCCACTTTTTTACCAAAAGGAAAATAAATGACAGAATAGCTGTGTGGCATCTCCAAAATCCCATTGGCTAAAACCAGAACCTGGACTGTAAGCCATATCTTCTTGATTTTCATTTTAATATAATTCCTCTATGCCATAACATCTCCTTTTTTCCTATAAGGCTCTTCTCTTCCAAGTAATTCACCTTCCTTCCCTCCTTCAAAAGCACCCCCACAGCCTAGTCTCCATTCTTCTGAAGCTCCAGCATAGGATGAGGAAAAGCTATATCAGAGAGCACAAGGAACTTTGAACTAAGACAGTCCTGGCTTCAAATCCTAACTTGTTAATGTAACGCCTATATGAATTTGGACGTGTTACTTAAGTCCATTGAGCCTATTTTCACATCTATAAATGTATGAAGGATTATTATCAACATGAATTGAACAAGTACATATAAAACAAGTGTCTCTAGCATGGTGCCTGAAACATGCTAGTGCCTGAAAATAACCTATCCATGCTGTCTATCATTTATTTGCCCTCACATTCTGCTTTGCAAAGTGTAGAAGTATCCACATACAGGCTTGAATTCAAACTTAATAGGAGGAACTTTACCCTGAGGACTGAAATTGTCTACTGGAAGTCAAAGCAGTCTCTGGAGGAAGTCCTTCTACAAACTTCTCTAATCTCCAGTTTGCTACCAAGACAAGAAAATCGATTTTGAATTCAATCTTTTAATTTCTTTTTGTGGCTAGTTTTGCAAATGGAGAATGCAATTAAAATTAATGATATATTAGTTCACTTTCCTCGAAATGAACACTGATCAGATTCTATGTGAAGCATCTGTAACATCTCATCTATAATTATGTCTAAATATATTAACAGGGATCTGTGTATTGTAGAACCAAGAGATTGTTTCTGGGAGACAGGAGTTCAGGGTTTTAGCCCTAGCTCTGACCTTCATTAATGACGTGACCTATGAAAAAAATCACTTCTGGCTGAGCCTCCATTTTTCTGTGAAATGGGTACATTACTACCTCACAGAATTGTTTAAAAATCACACAGGTCATGTATATGAAAGGCAAAAAAATTGCAACAAGCTTAATAAACTGTTATGATTACTAATATTATTCTTAAGAGCTATGATGAACACATGCTACACAGAAATCAGGGTTGTTGGGACTTGACACAAATATTCTCTAATACTTATTGTTATGCTATGAAACAAATGTTTCACATAGTACTAGCTAGCTTATATTACAACAAAGGATATTTTATTATTTTTTACATGACAGTATGGGAGAAAAAAGTATGGAAATAATTAAAACTCACTACTGAACATTAAACATATTTATTAGTTATACCTCCAAATTATCACAAACTGAGACATAATGCATATATTTTTGCACTCATTTTAAAAACATCTAACTTTGCTGGTGCAGAAGGTAAATCCAAATTTATTGTTTCTCATCTAGATTTCACTTAATTTCCCCCCTCAACTTCTCTGACATTTTGACATACTGTCATCTAGGAAATGTTATTCTGATGCAAACACTAACTCAGCACCTGTCAAAAACTGTTAGCCCCGAACTCTGATGCTTTTATGGAGCTTCTAGATTTCAGTTAAGATGGAAATTTTAAAAAATTACATTGTTGCGCATAAATCTGTCTTTAATAGCCCAAGTGTTGGATTAATTGTAGCTACCCACAAAGAGTACACTCTGTGCATAGTGGGTAAATAATACTTAAATAGAGCAGATATCATTTTTATCAGCCACTATAGTCATGAATTTTACAAAACTATAAAACCTAGTCTTTCTATCAGCCCTGCTTAAGCTAGGCAAAATGCATCCTTTATTTCAGATCATGAAACTGACAACATTTATATCCAAACTTACTTCAGAGGAGGTAAAATTTCCCTGAAAGGGAGAAAAAGGCCATCTGTTTCCCTGACAGAAAGGCTGGGCCAGCTGCATATTCATAATTGTCATCAATAATTGTAACTGGAAAGGAAATGAGAAATTGCCTTTTTGACAGAGGCTTCAGATATCAACAAGGTCCTGTTTTGCTGGCTGAGAGAGCCATGACTTCAGAGGTTAATATTTCTGAGGGTTACCTAAACAGAAAAAGAAAATACATTGGGTGTTGTATAAGAAATCCTTATGAAAACAAGTTTGAGCTGCTTTTGGCAAATATTTATTTAATCCCTGGGCCTCCGGTAAGTAGAAAAAATATTTTCATTCAACAGTCAATGGATATTATCACCAGATACATTTTTTCTCATTCTTCAAGATGTAGATGATGGAGATAGACAAGCCACAGTCTGTACTTTCAAGAATCATAGGATCTTTGTGAATGAAAAAGTGTGTAACAAAGCAGAGAACAATGGACTACTAAAGAAAAGACCTTCCAAACATAATTAAGAGGTAAGGAAGCCTAGATGATCTATGTTACTAAAGTGTTTCAATGAAGATTTCACAGAGAAACAACATCTAGTATGAGTCTAGAAGGTTAAATAAAATAAAAGGAGATAATATGTCAGAAAAATGTAGATATTAGAAAGGCTGATATTGTGAATGCCTGTTGAAGAGACACCTGCATTCCCAGTGTTACTGCAGGACTATCCATAATAACGAAGAAATGGAAACAACCAGTGTCCACCCAACAATGAATAGATGAAGAAAATGTAGCACATATACATAATGGAACACAAAAAGGATGAAATTTGGAATTTTCAACAAACACGGATGTAACTGTGGGTTTTCATGTTAAAGGAGTCAAGCATAGGAAAACAAATATTATATGATCTTACTCATGTGTGGAGTTTTGAAAAAACTAATCCCCGCAGAAGCCGCACCGCAGAGTCTGCGCGCAGGCGCTGGAAGGGGAGGTGAGATAAAAACCTCGGTAACCCAAGACATTGGCAGGGAAAGGCAGAAAGAGCCTAGAGGAAACGAAAGCCACACTTGGGAAAGTTCACCAGGCGGACTGGAGGAGAGAAAAAATGAACAAATAAGGGGAACCGGCACGGACATTAGCCTCTCTCTCTACTCACCTTACAAAACTGAGCAAGACAAAGAGCAGGCGCCATTTTACGTATGTAAAGAGGCGCCAGCCATTAGCCAAGCAGAAAAACCTGACACTGGTGGGGAGAAATAACAGGAGGTTAAGACTTAGTTAGTGAAAGTGAGGAGCTAACAAACTGAGACTGAAAATTTCAGGGGAGGGCAAGAGAACTCAGCGAGTACACAAACTGAGTCAGAAAAAAAAAAAAAAAGAAACACAGAGAGCGAGCGAGCAAGCAGGAGAACAATCTGGGTGAGTCACCATTGGCACACCCTTAACCCTGAAGAACCAAACAGAGCTCTCTGGCCACACGCATCACAGCCTCTAAGGATCCATCAAAAACAGATAGTCCACTTAATCTAGAGTCACAGTATAATGAGAAGAAACCAAAGAATATCTCCAATATGCCAAACAACAAATGCAGAAACCAAGGCAACAAGAACAAGGAAGACACTATGATGCCCCAAATGAAATAGACACCCCAATTCAAGATTATGAAGATGATGAGATAGAAGAAATGCAAGAAACAGATCTCAAAAAATTGATAAGAACATTAAGAAGTTCTCAAAAACAAATTCTTAAACTACAGAAATCCTTAATGGACAAGATAGAAAATCTCTCTCATGAAAATGAAATATTAAGGAGGAATCAAAATGAAATGAAACAACTAGTAGAACATGAAACTGTGATAGTGATGAGAAATCATAATGAAATGAAGAATTCAATTGATCAAATGACAAACACATTAGAGATTCTTAAAAACAGAATGGGTGAAGCAGAAGAGTGAATATCGGACTAAGAAGACAGAGAACAGGAAAGTATACAGTCAAACCAAAGAAAAGAAGAGGAAATTAGAAATCTAAAAAATATTGTCAGGAATCTTCAGGATACTATTTAAAAACCCAACATTCGGGTTCTAGGAGTTCCTGAAGGCATGGAGAGGGAGAAAGGATTAGAAGACATTTTTAGTGAGATACTAGCAGAAAATTTCCCAGGTTTGGAGAAGGACAGAGACATCCTAGTACAGGAAGCTCACAGAACCCCTAATAAACACGACCAAAAGAGATCCTCACCACGTCATGTTGTAATTAAACTCTCCACAGTGAAACATAAAGAAAAGATCCTAAAATGTGCACGAGAGAAACGTCAGATTACTCTCAGAGGATTTTTAATCAGACTCACAGCAGACTTCTCATCAGAAACCCTACAAGCTAGGAGGGAATGGCGAGATATAGCCCAGGTACTAAGAGAGAACAACTGCCAGCCCAGAATATTATATACTGCAAAGCTATCATTTGTGAATGAAGGTGAAATAACGACTTTTCATAGCAAACAGAAATTGAAAGAATTTGTCACCACTCGTCCAGCCCTGCAAAAGATGCTTAAAGATGTGTTACACACAGAAACACAGAAACACGGTCATCAATATGAAAGAAGGTAAAGGAAGGAAACCTCACAGCAAAAGATCATAGGAAGTTCAAAACATATATTAGAAAATATCTTTGGCAAATGGCAGGGCAAAGTTACTACTTATCAATAGTCACATTGAACATTAATGGCCTGAACTGTCCAGTTAAAACATACAGCTTGGCTGACTGGGTTAAGGAACAAAACCCATCTATTTGCTGCTTACAGGAAACACATCTTTCTAGCAAAGATGCATACAGACTGAAAGTGAAAGGCTGGAAAAAGATATACCATGGCAACAGAAATGAAAAAAGAGTGGGTGTAGCCATCTTAATATCAGACAACATAAACTTTAACACAAATACTGTTAAGAGAGACAAAGAGGGGCACTATATAATGATCAAGGGATCAATTCAACAGGAAGATATAACGATTATCAATGTATATGCACCTAATTACAGGGCACCGGTTTATTTAAAAGATCTGTTAAGGGACTTAAATGGAGACTTAGACCCCAATACAATACTACTGGGGGATTTCAATACTCCACTCTCAGAAATAGACAGATCCACAGGAAGAAGACCAACAAGGAGACAGTAGATTTAAATGACACTATAGCCCAAATGGATCTAACAGATATATACAGAACTTTAAATCCTACAGCTAAAGATTTTACATTCTTCTCAGCAGTACATGGAACCTTCTCTAGGATTGACCACATACTAGGCCATAAACCAAGTCTCAGCAAATTCAAAAGAATTAGAATCATACCATGCAGCTTCTCAGACCATAAAGGAATAAAGTTGGAAATTAGCAACTCAGGAATCCCTAGAGCATACGCAAACACATGGAGATTGAACAACATGCTCCTGAATGAACAATGGGTCATAGAAGAAATTAAAAGAGAAATCAAAAACTTTCTGGAAGTAAATGAGGATAACAGCACAACATGCCAAAACTTATGGGACGCAGCAAAAACAGTGTTAAGAGGAAAGTTTATATAATAGGTGCCTACATCAAGAAATTGGAAAGGCACCAAATAGATGAGCTTTCAATGCATCTCAAGGATCTAGAAAACCTACAGCAAACCAGACCCAAATATAGTAGGAGAAGAGAAATAATTAAAATCAGAGAAGAAATCAACAGGATTGAATAAAAAAAAAATTACAAAAAATCAGCCAAATGAGGAGCTGGTTTTTTGAAAAAATAAAAAAAAAATGACACCCCATTGGCCCAACTAACTAAAGAAAGAAAAGACCCAAATCAATAAAATCAGAGATGAAAAAGGAAACATAACAACAGACACCACAAAAATAAAAAGAATCATCAGAAATTACTACAAGGACCTGTATGCCAGCAAACAGGGAAACCTGTCAGAATTGGATAGATTCCTGGACTCTTGCAACCTACCTAAATTGAACCAGGAAGACATCGAAAACCTAAACAGACGTATAACTGAGACAGAAATTGAAACAGTAATAAAAGCCCTCCCAACAAAGAAAAGCCCAGGTCCAGATGGATTCACTGCTGAGTTCTACCAGACATTTAAAGAAGAACTGACTCCAATTCTTCTCAAACTATTCAGAACAATCGAAAAAGAGGGAATCCTCCCAAATTCTTTCTATGAAGCCAGCGTCACCTTAATTCCTAAGCCAGAGAAAGATGCCGCATTGAAAAGAATTACAGACCAATATCCCTGATGAACATAGACGCAAAAAACCTCAATAAAATTCTGGCCAATAGAATGCAACAACACATCAGAAAGATCATCCACCCAGACCAAGTGGGATTTATCCCTGGTATGCAGGGATGATTTAATGTGCGCAAAACAATCAATGTGATGCACCACATTAACAGACTGCAGAAGAAAAACCATATGATTATCTGAATAGACACAGAGAAAGCATTTGATAAAATACAACACCCGTTCATGATGAAAACTCTAAGCTAACTGGGTATGGAAGGAACATTCCTCAATACAATCAAAGCAATATATGACAAACCCACGGCCAACATCCTATTGAATGGGGAAAGGTTGGAAGCATTTCCACTGAGATCTGGTACCAGACAGGGATGCCCACTCTCACCACTGCTATTCAATATAGTTCTGGAACTTTTAGCCAGAGCTATTAGGCAAGAAAAAGAAATTAAAGGGATACAAATTGGGAAGGAAGAACTCAAACTATCCCTCTTTGCAGATGATATGATTCTTTATTTAGGGGACCCAAAGAACTCTACTAAGAGACTATTGGAACTCATAGAAGAGTTTGGCAATGTAGCAGGATATAAAATAAATGCACAAAAATCAACAGCCTTTGTATACACAGGCAATGCCACAGCTGAGGTAGAACTTCTAAGATCAATCCCATTCACAATAGCTACAAAAACAATCAAATACCTTGGAATAAACTTAACCAAGGACGTTAAGGATCTCCAGGATGAAAATTACAAAACCTTAAAGAAAGAAATAGAAGGGGATACCAAAAAATGGAAAAATCTTCCATGCTCATGGGTTGGAAGAATCAATATCATCAAAATGTCCATTCTCCCAAAAGCAATTTATACATTCAATGCAATACCAATCAAGATACCGAAGACCTTTTTCACAGATCTAGAAAAAATGATGCTGAAATTCATGTGGAG